GGGGTTCCTTGTCCGTGTTAATAACCGAATATACCGAGGAGGGGGCTAGCTGACTGTAGCACCTCATTTCGGAGGAGAAATTCCAATCTTCCTCTCCCAAACCACACGGAAGTTAGAACAGAATAATATGGTCAGACTCAAACTATAGCACCTTGCCCCAAATGTTCCATTTGAAAAAAGAAAAAAAAAAATTGTCCTCAACTAACGTTATCCTCCAACCATCAAAATATTTTCACTTTTTTCCCTCACAGTGAAACGTTAATTCCACAAGTTACTTCGGAGGATGTTTGATTAACTAAATTTTGGTCCCTGAGCTATTTGTTGAGTTTGGAACGAAGTAAAGAAAAATCAATTATTCGTGGAACAATGATTCAAGAGTTGTCTATTTGAAAAGTGCAGTTGAGTTAAAACATGCGACAACCACTGTAAATTGAAGTCTTCCATTGAAGATGAGCAGGGACCAAATTTACGGAGACCTCGTCAATAGACAGAGGGCATACATGTAGTTTACCAAAAACTTCACACAGATATGTGTGTTATTAAAACTAGAAAAAACTACCATGATCTCGCTACTTCGATATAAGTGTATTATTTACTATTTTTTTCTTGTTTCCTTTGACCTTTTACAAGAATTGAAAAACACAGTAAATATGAAAGTAACAATTTTATGATGCATCTCAAGCTATAATGTGTGGATAGCAATAATTGCATGTTTGTTATTTTTTTAGTCAAGCCATCATGTGTGGATAGCAACAATAATTGCTTGTTTATTTTTTAGTCAATCAAAATCTTTTGTTTTATCATAGTTGCTTGTTGTAAGAAAATTTAACTTTTACTATAGATGATTGTTTTGGATTTTCCATGTATTTATTAAATAATAAATGTCATTTAATAGGTAGATGATTTATGAGATTGTCATTTGTTGGATAAGAAGATTTTTCTATGAGCGACATAAAATTATTTTTCTAAATATTATACCACTTCATCCAAAATTGCTCCACCCTTACAATGTTATCTTTTTATTTGTCTCTTAAAAAATTAAGAAACACAATAAGTATAATTTTAATAAGAAATACGTTAGCAAAATTAAACATTTTATAGTGTGCATTATCATATAGCTTCGGACAACAAAAAATAAAAATATGGATTAGCAAATTGAGATGAATTATATCAAAATTTAGTATTTAATATGTGATTTTTTAAAACATTCGTTTACTAAAATCAGTTATGTTAAACTTCCTCAACTCATTTCTCACAAACCTTACTTACTTTTACTGACATTTATAAGTATGCTAAAAAAGAGCAATAAAACTAAGGAGTTTGATGTTCTCTACCAAATATTATGAATAACTTAACTGAAAGACTCAATAAAAGAATTTTTGAATACTTTGAAGATCTAATATTTGAGATAATAATTTTTTTTAGGAACTCAATTATAATTTATGACATAGTTTTTAATGAGATATAAGGTTTGTTAATTTTCAAAAACTTTTAAAACAAGAACAACAACAAAATTGTAAAGGAACCTAACTTTTTATTCAATTATAATTGATGGCTAAATATCAAAATATAATTTAAATAATATGTCCTGAACCATCAAGGGTGAAATAGAAAGAACATTATGCCTTAAACCTAGTTAGGACACCAGATATCGCAGGGCAGAACTAGAAATTTAGAATTGAAGTATGAATAAGAAGACACTTCGAACTAAATACAAAATGAAGGTAAGCACATGTAAAGACGACGGATGGTCCACGATTGGGGAGCATTGTATGGCATAAGAAACAAATAAGTACACATAATACGTAATTCACACGAGAGAATGTTAATTGTCACTGTCACTGACAGGGGAGAGCCAGGATATACACCATGTTAAGTCAAATCGTAGCGCCTTCACTTGACAGCCATGGATTTAAGTTTTTGATAACCTAGAATAAAAGTTGAGAATTGGTTCCATTAAATGAGCTGAGAGACAACGAGGATAATTTTTCTTATTATTTTTAATTCGAATACTGTTTCATCATTGGATATGATATGATCTATCAAACCACTCAATTAATTAAGCTTAGACGGTGCTCAATTAGTTAATGGGGTTTCAATTTATTTGTACCATAGACAAACCAGTTCAAGAATTGAAAATTAAAATAGTTCAGTACTTCATTATAGTCGGAAAAAAAAATTCAAAATTCGATCTATTCTAATTAATGCACACCGAACTTTCAAATGCGAATATTTTCAGTAATAATAAAAGGAAAAAAAAAAGCATTTTCCTCTAGGTGATTTTTTTTATTGGCTTAAAGTGGCTCTGAAACTTTTTTATAAAATCATGATCTGGAGGGTATATATATTTTTACAATGATCGAATCAGCGAAACTCACATAAACTTTAAATAGAGGTAAAAAAACCTATGAACTTTATAAAGATATATATTAGCGATCACATAAATTTAATCTCGAAGACTAACCTGAGAGACGAATGGATATGCTCTTATTCCTCACCTTATCGATTCAGGTTCAAATCCAAAACTAGATATTGACTCGTGAAAAAATATTTTTTTCACTATCCTAAAGGATCTACTCAAATTATATGCGCTTTTCTCACTCTATAAAAGGATGGCAACTTGCCTTGTTCCGATGGAGCTCTGTCTTGCCTCGTCTCACCTCAATCAATATAGAAATTTATTGAGTTGATTAAAGAACTAGACGAGACGTCTCGATCCGTATTTATTATGAACGGGATGAGACAGGATGATATTTGCTTATCTTATCTTGTTTGTCTCGTTATATCTTTAAAACTATAATTATAAATTTATAATTATTGATTCTTAATTTTAATTTTTATATGAATTATAATTTTTTAAATGAGATATCGATATCCAACGAGAATCCTCATTCTCGTTTAAAACAGAGATGATATAAGAAATATTGCACGGTGGATAGCACGGGGCGAGATCGAGACAAAATTTTCAAGAACGGATGGTGGCGAAGATGGCCACATTGCCATTCCTACTCTGTATAGAACTGAGAGGATAAACTAGGGAGACAAACATAAAAGAGAGAAGCAAAAGCTGCGGCCTTTGGGCTTTGGCCTTTTGATAGCTTGAGGAAAGAATCGACATTGAGAAAGAGATTTTCTCCATATCGTCTGGCTCAAATTAAGCTGCTCTAATTTGGATCGTCTGTGACCGTGAAAACGGATTGGAAAGTGAACGAGGTGCGGTAGTTGCGTATGTGTCCCCCCTCAACACCGTCTACTTGCTTTTTTTGTTTTTTTCCCATCGTATCAAATAGAAAAGCCCTGGTACTCCCACGTATATACATAACACACACAAACAGATATGGACGCTTGTGCTTCGTGCTCTAACGACAGCGTGAAGGTGACTCTGTCTGCTGAGGTTAACGTGGGGCCTTCTCACCCACACTCTTTTCTGCTCAATGTTAAAAAAAAAACCTCAAATCAGCCCCTAATGAGTTATCCAATTCTTAATTGAGTTACAAGACAAAAAATTTATCAATCTAGTCCCAAACATTTCAGACGATTCAAGTTAGAGGTCATTTTCTCCAAGTTTGTAATTTTCCATAAAAGTACTCAATTGAGAAATTGGGAAATTAGCGACCCAATGGAAAAGTTATTTTGCTTTTAGTCTCAACTGAGAATTTTTATATAGGTTACGGATCAAATTGAGATTTCTCCCGAAAATAGACAAAGTAAGAACAGCCACGCAATTCGGAAATGTGGATTTTTTTTTCATGGGATGACCAGAAAATTAAGCGAAGAAATCAGTAGATTCAATAGATAATTTTGATACTTGATGGGCTTTTATGATTGGCTTTTACAGTTTAGCTGTGAAACCTGAGAACAACTACTTGTTTTTTTTTCGAAAAAAACACATGGAACCAAGTTTTCTCTGTTAACCTAAACATTCCAACTAGAGTAGCGTCATTCTTTTGAAACACTCAATGACATAGATTTAATGATGGATTTTCTTTCTTTTGTTCACGAAGCGTACCAGTTTAAAATTAAACAAAGAAAAATTAGAAAATGATCTTACTTACTTTACCTGCACTTGGACGCATAGTCAACTTTCTCACAGTAACAGTTTCATCTGTACCTAGTTGAAATAATGATGACTTTTTTGCAGACTCCGTAAGTATGGGCTTTTGGATAACCGACAATCAATCACCATTTATGAAAGGAACCTAAGCTTATATAAAATGTTTGGTGATGCTAAACTTTCATGAAAAGAAAAATAGTAGGGCCAAGTGTATCGCTGACGGTCCAAACAGAGACTAATTCATGCGTCATATATCCTTCTACTCTTCATTAATCTCGTATTTACTTTAGAAATGTGGGTATAAGACATTTTCCGTTGAGCGTGTTTTTCTAAAAATAAATAAATAAAATTTCCAAAACCTCGGGAGTTTTCAAAATCGAGTTTTAGCCCCCATCTCTCTCAAAAATGACAACAACTGTAACAATAACGATGCAGTTGTTCGGTTGAAAAATCTTCTTCTTTTTTTTCCCCTTCCAATCGTAGTGTACAGAACAAAAATCCCTTTGAAGTTGATTAAATTATAAATTAGTCCCTCTAATTTTAAGAAACAAATTAATTAATCTTTCTAGTTTCAAAAATTAATTATTTAGTTTAACTAGTGTTGACTATGACTAATTTAATATTTTTTTATTTCATAAAATATCTTTTTTTGTCAATATTTTCATATTTTTTATTCTTTTTCTATTTCTTAAAACAAAAATAAAATAAATTGAAAAATAGAAAAGACTAAATAATTAGTTTTTGAAACTAGAAAGACTAATCAATTCGTTTCTGGAAGGAAGAGGGACTAATTTATAATTTACTCCTTCGAAGTTTGAACTGCTTCCAAATCCAAACAAAGTGGAAAAAAAAAGAATAATAAAAAAAAAAGCGCGCGAAGAAGGAAGCAACGGCGAGAGCGAGAGAGAGAGAGAGAAAGAAGAGAGAGTAGGGTTGAGAGAAAGCCATGGGTATGGAATGCCTCGTCCTCGGTATTTCTCTTCAAACAAAAAACTCCTTACATTAGTTCCATCAACACCTACTTTTGTTTATTTGCATTATATATTTATGTAATTGTTTGTTTGATTTGAACACGAAAGGTGCTGGGCAGGAAGTTGGGAAGAGCTGCGTGGTAGTAACAATCAACGGCAAACGAATAATGTTCGACTGTGGAATGCACATGGGTTACGATGATCATCGTCGCTACCCTGACTTCTCTCTCATCTCTAAATCCAGAGATTTCGACCATTCCCTCGATTGCGTTATCATTACTCACTTGTAACCATAATCACACTCAATAACCTTTCTCAACTCTCTCTCGATTGCCTTTGTTGTTGTTGTTGCTGTGTTAATTGTGTTTGGTTCGACGCAGTCATTTGGATCATGTTGGCGCGCTTCCTTACTTCACCGAAGTTTGCGGCTATAATGGACCTATTTACATGACGGTAATCTACTCGATAAAATGCTTAACTGAATGCATGTATTTGTTGGCCAATTAACAGAATTTTTTATGCAGTATCCTACGAAGGCGTTGGCCCCTTTGATGTTGGAGGATTTTAGAAAAGTTTTGGTTGATAGAAGGGGCGAGGAAGAGCAATTTACTTCTCTTCATATTTTACAATGTATGAACAAAGGTAATTCTAGCATCTCTTTCTTTTTATCCCGTTGCTTCCTATTTTATCTGATTTTGGAAGTCACTGCAGTTAAAAAAAAAAAAAAATGGTGTTTCTGCTCAAGTTATATTTTCTTGCTAATCCCTACTTTTTTCGGTTTGTTGTAATGCAGTCATACCCGTGAATCTGAAGCAGACTGTGCAGGTTGATGATGATCTTCAGATTCGTGCCTATTATGCTGGACATGTAAGATTTTTTTACCTTAAGTTATAGTAGCGCGTATTCAATTGACATCAATTGTTTTTCCATATATTAATAAAATTAGTACTTTTCATGCTCAATTACATTTAGCAATCAACCCCCAGCGTGTGTTTTAAGGAATTAATAAATAAAAATTTGCAGTTTTGGGCTCCATATTAAAATGACCTATAATTTATGTGGTGTTTTTTTTTTCAATGTATTTTTAGCGTATATTAATTGGCTGAACCAAAACATAAAGAATAGCCTGTTAATTTCTTTGCTAACTGCTGCAAAACATTTCAGATTCTATGCATGACACACTAGAAGATAGCTTTTATTCTTTCTGCATATTTCTTGTAATTCTGTTGTTATTGTAAGCATCGGGAGCTTTTCAGCTGGGATGAATTCTGACCATAAAGCTAAGAACATACTCCCAGGAAAGGAAAAATAGTTCAGGAACCAAACTGCACTGAGATAAACTTTCGTACTGGCTATCTTAATGGGTGCAGTTGTATCTTTGTCAAGCTTGATGCCCAAAGATATAAAGCTTTTTTTTTTAGTTTGGGAATGCAGAGGCATATGTAAGGATAAAAACAGGAGTTATGCCTGACCTTTCTGCGGTAGGAGTGAAAAAATGGTAGCAGTGTTGGTTATTTTTTCAGAAAAGAAGTGATGTGAGTCAGCTGAAGGACGTATTCATCTGAACTTATGGGAACTTAGCTGGGAAAAGAGAGCAGGGATGAGGGAGCATGTCCAAGTAAACATGAAAAGAAGAGAAATCAAATTACCGTTGTACATGCTTTCTAGCATCTGATATAACAGGCCTCAAAACACCTTCATTTTGCAACACTAGGATGGAGATTTGAAGATTGGTTGTTACTCACAATTTGCTTCTTTTTGTTAGGTTAAATGCTTGATATGTTTATGGAAAACTTTTGGATTAGTTGGTCCGGATAAAGCCAGATAGAAGGTTTGACTTTATGATAAAATTAAAATGAGATCTAGTGGTAAATATGGATAAAAAACAATTGAGCAAACCATGGGCTAATAATGAATGAGTGGATACTTGTGACTTTTTTTTCTTTCCATATGCTTGTTAGATGCAAGTCTGAGATGGCAATGCGCGTTACCCACACCACAACATGTGCATCCTTAAATTCTAAAATTTCCAAAGTGCATTAAAATTCTCTCCCTTTTTTGTTTCAAAATTTTATTGTTTTTTGGGTTCTTTTTTATGTTAATGATTGAGTTTTATATTTCTTCTTTCATTGCGCTTTCAAGGTTCTTGGAGCTGCAATGTTTTATGCAAAGGTGGGAGACTCTGCTATGGTGTACACAGGAGATTATAATATGACTCCAGATAGACATCTGGGAGCAGCTCAAATTGATCGACTTCAACTAGACCTCCTTATAACAGAGTATGGGCAACATATGTTTGTACAATATGCATATACGTATAAAGCTGCTTGTATAGAACCTTTACATGAAGCCATAGAACAAAATTTATGTTTGCCATTAGTGTTCTGTTAATTGATTTTAGCATTATCTTTTATTCATTTTTCTCATAGTCAACATTAGTCAGTAATTTGCATCAGGAATTTTAATTCTTTTAAGTATGCAAAAAGAAATAGTGTAGTCTTTGAAAGGGCCTTTGTTTGGTGCAAAAATAGAAGTTTCACACAGCCAATTTCAATTCGCTGATTGGCAATTTGAGTCTTCAGAGTGGTCACTTCATGTAAATTGCTGAAGACTATATTCCTTCCACATTATCTCTCCCAAGAGCTTGCATTGTCATGAGAAACACTGCAGATTTGCAAATATACGCATAATTTATTATGTACATCATGCAAAAAATGCTGAAGGTTGGGATTGTTTTCTGATTGCCCTTCCCAAGATTTTGTTTTGGCATGCCAACAATGCAACTATATTTATTATGTATTAGTGCTCTAAATTACATATTGAGTATAGATGCCATTACTGTTTTCCTACAGAATGCATTTGGCAATGATTAGGATGGTTGACCTTTGGTTTTGAGATTAAGGCCCACTAAGGATTCTGATTTCCATCAGTGCTATTGTTCCTCTTTCATTGTTATTTGTGAAAGAACACTAATCAGTGTACATATTATCTTGGTGGTTTTTCAATCACTCTAAATAGCTCTGATTTTTTTAGGGTGAATCTGGTTCCTGAAACTTCTCGTTTGTGATTTTTATTCTTTCTTTTTATGGAATATCTTAAATCCATATGTATTTGTTGAAACACTGTAGCGTTTGGGTGTTGTTTCCAATTGACAAACTACTATAGTTATAATCTTGTAGCATAAGAAAACCTATTTTGCATTGATACTTTTTGGAGTCTTTGTTTATAGAATTGTATTGGCTTTTAGTGAATGTTTTATTTTTACTTTCCTGATAAATTCTTCTCACAGGTCTACGTATGCAACAACTATACGTGATTCAAAGTATGCTCGAGAAAGGGAATTTCTGAAGGCTGTATGTATAACAAGCTGTCCATTTCTGTGTTATGCATTCTATTATTTCTGTAATAGGTCGTTGTGCTTTTTCTTTCCATTTCTTTCCACCATTATTGTCTTTTTTGTCATATGACTCCTGAGCATTATATTGATATCTCAATGGGAATTAGTCAACTAAAGTTGCAGGAAGCTTCTTTTGCTGCTTATGTTATTCATTGCCAAAAAAATTGATGATGCTTTCTTAAAAGCCTGTCCATGTTGGAGACCAGCTGTATGATAGTTAAATTTTAATGTTAGTTTTGACTTGTATTGCTGGCAGTCTAGAACCAGAGACCAGTGTCTCAAACATTGATAATTATGGTGTTAGATTCAGATACAAGTTCTGTCATATGTTATGTTAACGTACAAGTCTTTCCAGTTATTTCTCCAATCATTAAAACCTACATTTCCTTTTTATTTTGACCCTTGTCTAGCCTCAGTAAATATGGGACTTGAAGAAAAAGTAATCATATCATATCATTTTTATTACTTTGGTATATATTCCACACCCATTGAATAATTTGTAGGCCCTTAGAATCGAAAAAAATTTCTTAATGGCTGAAGGATTATAGAACCACAATTTCATTCTTAGTGGTTCTTCATTGTCAAATGATGCTTTTCTATTAGAATGCATATGTACATGACTTTCTCAAGTGCACTGATTCTACTGTAAACTCATAGTTTTTAAGAATGCATACATCCAGGAATTCAAGTTTTTTGCTTCTTGTAAATTATTGACCTGTATTAAGCATTGCTGCTATCTCCTATGAGGGCTTGTCTTATTTTTATTTATATTTCCGAGTGCTTGAGTTGGGAAACTTTTTTTTATCCTCTACAACAGTAATAGTGTTGCGTGTCTTGAAAAACTAATCAATGCAGGTCCATAAATGTGTTGCTGGAGGAGGAAAGGTGCTTATTCCTACATTTGCGCTTGGAAGAGCTCAGGTATTCACAGAAAGATTGTTCTTTCTTTCGCTTTATATGTAACTTGCCTCAATTTGAATTGGTGTATGGTTTAATTTTTTGTGAAAATTTTAACCATTATGGAACAATAAACACGTCTTAATGATGCCATATATGATATTATACTGGCTCTTTTCAGTTATGTGGACATACATGATATTTGAAAATCCCAACCAATTAAATCTGGTTGGTTCACTAAATTGGAAACAAAATTATAGACTTTCACAGCATCGTCTTTGTTTTGTACACATCTGAGCTGCATTTTTGGTCTGGTGTGATTTAACCAAACTAGTTATTGCTTCAATTTGGTGCTGTCCAGATTGAAAACATATGTCATATGATTGGTAAACAACAACATAAATGCATTAGCACCTAAATGTCTATAAGAATTGTGCCTATATATTTCTTTGACTATTCTCTTGCATTTTATGCTACTGAGATGGTGGTGCTTGCGGTATTGAATTGGGGATTTGGGTTTGGCAGGGTTAGTATATTGGGGATGGAAATGAATTTGTTATACTTCCTATTTTTTGTGGCTGTGACCTTTTTGGCTTCTTCTTATTTTTTCTTTAATGTTTGGGTTAGTTCAGAGATTTTGGATAAGAGAATTCTCTGACATGGTGGTGATGGTGATAGTAGTGATAGTTCATTGAGAGTGAATAGTGTCTGTAGTTCTACTGCTTTCTTAAGGAAAGATGTCATTATCTTGAAGTTTTATGTGGTACCAAAATATCTCATTTTTTACAGGGGCATTTTAGAAACTGGGAAAAACTGGCTTTTGTGTTTTTATTTTTTTTTGGTATGCCACCTTCGTACATAACTCGAGGGAATCATGCAAGTTGCTCGTTATCCGAAAATATGAATATTTCAGATTCAAAATGCTCACCACTTTAGGTCTATCCTTGTCCTTTTATTCTTATATTAGATGATGGATCGTAACTTTTAGTGAGATTATAATTTTGGCAGGGAAGATACATTATTCTTTTTTCTTTCTTTTTCCAAATAAGCATATTTCTTATATTGTTTGTGTATTTCAACTAGTCAAAGATGTATCGTTTGTGAAATCTTCATTGATGTTGGGGATTATATGCCTTGATTGTGTTGCAGTATCTGGTTTTTTAGTATACTTTTGCTTTCTTTGTTGAGAGTCTTATTGACTTGTGGTTAGGAACTCTGTATATTGTTGGATGACTACTGGGAGCGTATGAATCTCAAGGTTCCTATATACTTCTCAGCTGGTATGATTCATCTGTTATTTTTTCCCGCTACAAATTTAAACATGTTACTTGATCAAACATTATATTTTTAGTTATAAAAAAAATCCTATTTGCTTCTGTCTCATAATGACTTCCCATTTGCAAAATCAATATTAAATCTGTTGAATATTTTACATAAATGTCTATCATTAAAAGATAAAATTTTGTTTCCTTTTACTGTTTAAAGTTACATATGACCAAATAAAAAGAAAAAGAAATTGGCAATGCATTGATCATTGTCTCCTTAAAATGTTGACGTTTTCCTAGAGCATGAAAAACTTTGAAATGGAGGGACTATATGTTCAGCATGTATGGATCTGACATTACAATTATCTGGGGTTTAATATTGCAAGAGCATCCATCATCGAAGTTTTGATTTTCAGATATAAGGAAAGTTCAGTTACTGGCAAAGACTAGGTTGTTTGCATGCTGCCTATTCTAGTTTAGAGCTGGCAAAACTGCAACAGCCTTTGCTAACGGCAGTAAATATTCTCTTAATGTTTTCTTTGTCTGGTTTAGCATTGCATTTGTCAAAACAAATTCCTAACACTGTGCATGCATAATTCGTTTTTGAAGAAGCTTCTTATTGGCAAATCCTTTTGGAATCTCATGTTAATTCTTCTCATTCCTTTAGAGATTTATTTGAATACTGTTGAGAACTTAAATAGTTTCCCAAGTGCGTTCAACGCTGAACTCATGGATTTTATAAAGTCACACTAATAATTTCGAGGCTTGCATTTCAGGTTTGACCATTCAAGCTAATATGTATTATAAAATGCTTATCAGCTGGACCAGCCAGAAGGTCAAAGAGACATATGCTACAAGGAATGCATTTGATTTTAAACATGGTAATTCAACTGGTTAGCCGATGAGCATCAACATGTGTTTTTGGGTTACAGTTACATTATTTTCTAGCACAACACAAGATTGAGAAATTTTTTAATCTCAAAGAATAAGAAATTCTAATATGGAGTTGCCTCTTGTGAAGAGAGGGATCTCATTTAGCTGGAAGAAAAAAAAACAACCGATAAGTTTGGAAAACATATATGTTTGAATGTTTCTTGGATCATATGCCCCTTGAGTTAAGCATTTATGTCATGATATGTGCCTATTCTCATTTTATTCTACCACTAGCTACGTTGCTACTTTTTTTAAGTAAATCAAGCTGATTTTGGTGAAAAGACAAGTGAATGATATCTGAGGAACTTCCTTGGCACCCACTATTAGTTTAGGTATTTGATTCATTTTACAACATAAACCACATGATGTTTCATGAAATGATTTTATCTAGTGAGAATTGTGCATTAACTTTTATAAATCAATTTTTACTAGACTTCAATCATGTGGGAGTATAACTCTTACATTATTTTTTTAAACTCAATTGCTCAGCTTCTCATATCAATGCATGTCTTCAAGTCAAATCTAACATTGTTGGTGCTTTTGTTCAAGCACTTTGCCCACTCATTGGTATTTTAGGCTACCTATAGGGCTATTTTTACGTAAGGATATTGCCACAAAAATGGAGCTTTTAACTCTACTTTTCACATCTCCTCATCAGTCTATGATGATGATGTTTGCACAAGCATATCAATCATTGTTATATCAGGTTCTTTTGTGGCATCTCTGATTTGTAAGGAACTCAATGTCACAATTACTGCATGTTCCAAAATGTGGAGTCATTCGTTTTCCATGTGCTTGGTTATCAGAACTAAGGTGCATTTAGTTCTTGTAGAATCTAATTTGCTACTCTTTTTACACAACTGCTTGTGATTTGCTTGCCTGTTTTCATCTATTATAGATCATTTTCTTTTTAATATTTCAAATTGAATAAGAGCTTTTTATCTTTCTTTTTTGTTTCTTTGATGAAAATTGATTAGATTAAGAAGAGAGCTATCTAGTCAATGACAAAAAAGAAAGTTACAGAGTAGAAACAAAGGACCATACCAAGCAAGATAACCTTTCTATCCACTCCTTGCTCATCCGAACTATCTCCAGCAGTATTACCATCTCTATTAAAGCTAGTTGACTTCAGATTGCGAAAACAAGAATTGATACTCATAAAAAAATTATGCATTCTCCATGGCCTCTCATTAGCATCTTGATGAACCCAAAGCACTGTGTTCATAGAACCAATTTCTATGATCCACTTCTTCTCATCAGAAAGATGATGGGAAGAACTTATCTGCAAGCTTTATTAATAGCTAAAACTTTAGCCTCATTGGAATCTTTAATACTAATTAGAAATGAGAAGACACACAAGAGCTTTCGTTCATGCAATGCCAGAACTACCTGGTTTTCCAAAGAACCATCCACATTCCATTTCAAACACCCAATTCTCAGCTTCTCCCATGTAGTTGGCTGGCGACTAGTGAATCGATTAATCAATCTCTGAATTCCTTCTGAGCTTCTTGCTAAATCTTTTCCAGAGTAACTATATTTTTTTCTTTGTTCTATGATGGTGAAAACAAGTATTTTCATACCTCGTAGGGTCTTGTGAAAGTTTTTGGTCGCTAACTATATTTTATTTTTCAGTAGAAAGGATTCCTTCTTTGAATAATTCAATTGATTTCATCTCTTTGTTAGGGTTTGAAGATAATCATGTCGAACTGAGTAATTTTAAATACTGGATAAAGCAATTTTCCTGCTCATATGAAATGTATCATGACTGATATTAATTATGTGTGATGGCATAAACTTTACTTCCTTTCTAGCAAATCCTATTTTAACTCTTAATGTTTGGATGTTGCAGTTCACAATTTTGATCGTTCTCTAATAAATGCTCCTGGGCCTTGTGTTCTCTTTGCCACACCTGGGATGATTAGTGGTGGATTTTCACTGGAGGTTTTTAAACAGTGGGCTCCTTGTGAAATGAATCTTGTAACATTGCCTGGGTATTAATCTTGTTACAATCTCCTTTTGTTGAGCATATAAGGATGCATGACGCATGTCTATCTGTAGGAACCAGGAAACTCCATAGTTGCCAATCATTACCTCGTATATACTTATCAAAAACAAAATATAATGACTCTGTATATAAGTTCTAATCCACCAACCATTTGACACATATCACCTCAAAAATATCAAATGTTTTTTTTTTTTTTTTAAAGTTCTGAGGTAGGTTAAAATATTCAAAAGAAAGAAATACAGAATCTGTTCATTAATTGCTTATCACCAGAATGCAATTTAAAAGGAAGTCCCGTTGCCTTTCATTATATGTTTCATCTTTACCCTTCTGAATAATTCAATTTTTTAGGAAGGACAGAATGTGCAAGCAAGATATTGCATGTTTCTTCATGTTGGTTGGTTGTGTATTTTTCAATATCTGCTTTCCCTTTTCCATTCTAGACTTGGAATAAAATAAACGCTGCATGTGACCATGCATAGAATGTTTAATATATATTGTGTTTCTCAACTTAAGTGTCCATTTCATCTTTTCCTATATATTTTGCTCCCTTTGTAGATATTGTGTGGCTGGAACTGTAGGACATAAATTGATGTCGGGTAAACCTACTAAAATTGATTTGGACAAGGACACCCAGATTGATGTGCGATGCAAGGTGCGTATTCTCCTGCCTCCTGCTTGTTTACCATCATTTCCACCTTTCTTTATCATTTTGTTATTCTTTGGATAAAAAGAGTAGGATTTGGATTCAAGATGTTGCTCTCCCTGCCTTTGGGAGAGTACCACTGAGCTAAACACCCATGGTTTCATAAATAGTACCTTATTAATTTCCTGGGTTATGAATTATTCTCAACTGATCAGGCAATGTATATTCACTTAAGACTATGAACGCATGCTTCTTCAGCTATTTCCATGAAATATAATCAAGTTTGTTTACCAGGGATGATAGAAAATGTAACTCGTTAAGGTGCGATGATGTTGTCACCTAGGCAGCTGAGCCTGAACGCATTTTTTGAACCCTTGCATTTTGATAGATGTTTACTAAAACAAATATAACCTTTTTGCTTAAGAGAATTTTGGCCTTTGTTTGAGCTATAATTTAATTTGACTAGTCCTTTAAAGCCATTAATCCTGTTCTGGAGGTTAGAGCCTGGAGGTCTAGGAGTGTTGTGTTTCCTGAACATACATGGTCGGATGTTTAAATGTCTTATTTCCAAAGATGAAGCTTGATTGATCTTTCTTCATTCCCTAGATTAGCCAGCTTACTCTGTAAAGTGATTGAAATATTTACTCTCTGCTGTTAAAGAGAACACATCTCAATATTTTTCAATGACCATTTGCATAGTTTTCACATTTTTTTGTTCTTTTCCTTAAATGGATATTTACGTAAACTAATTAAAACATTAGAACTGATGTTTTGGTTTCATCCATCCATGTTTCACGCATCCATATTGCATCATTAAGTTGTAGTGATTAGAATCTCACATGGTTCTATGGGTTCACATTTGAAGCTCATGTAAACTGTGTTGGGAATATAGACTACTAGAGAAAGTTGGGATGGCCTTGAATTATATCGCAGGATGGTTTTCTTGTAAGTTGTATAGATCCATATAAGTTATAGAGAACTGGGAAAATGAATGTATGCCAGGAACATGTTGCTATCCAATGCCTTTCTGTTTATTTGGAACTCTTTAGAATCAATCATATGTGAAGTTTAAGTATCCAGTGCCCTATTTGATTTGCAACTCATGCTGGTGCTTATTGAATATGGATCATATGCAACATTATACTTTGTGAAAGCAGGGTGCCCACCGTTTTAGGCTGTGTATCTTTCATCTCAAGTGGGATAGATTACTTTCTCTCTCTGAAACTAGATCTCTCTCTCCCTCCTCTCTCTGTATGTGTACATGGAAGGCTTGTGTGCCTCTGTGTTTTTGGGAGAGCTTAAATGTACAAAACTCATTTTTATAGCAGTCCTGATTACTTGCTTATATTACCAGATTCATCAATTGTCTTTCAGTCCTCATACAGACAGCAAAGGAATCATGGATCTTGTCAAATTTCTCTCGCCCAAGAATGTGATACTTGTACATGGTGAGAAACCTAAAATGGGTTCTCTTAAAGAAAGAATACAGTCTGAACTGAGAATTCCGTGTTATCTTCCAGCCAATTGTGATACGGTGTGCATTCCTTCTACTATCTGTGTGAAAGCACATGCCTCTGATGCATTTATTCGCAGTTGCTTGAATCCTAATTTCAGATTCTTAAAAAGAAGTAAAGAAGACAATTCTTATGAAGTTTCAAGAAACACAAATGCCACAGCCACACTGGAGGTAAATGACGAAAGAATTGCTGAAGGGATCTTGATTATGGAAAAAGGCAAGAAAGCAAGGGTTGTACACCAAGATGACCTGCTGCTCATGTTGGGGCAGAAGAAGCACGACGTTCAGTTTGCTTATTGTTGCCCCGCCCAACTTGATAACTTGGAAGAGACTAGAAACAGAGATGATGCACTTAGTCTTACCAACAAGTGCTCCTGGCTTCAGCTGTTGTTTAAAGAACTTTCAAATTATCTTTCTGGAGTGAACATCCAAGATCTTGGGGAGCATCTTCAAGTAGAGTCATTTCTTGTGTCTGTATGTTTGAAGGACAACTGCCCATACCGAATAACTGATCATACTAAAAAAGAATCAGCGACAGTATTTTTTTGCTGCACTTGGTCTGCAGCAGATGAAAAACTGGCCCGGGAGATCATTTCAGCCATGGAGAGGTTCAATTTAAGTGGCAATTGACCATACAGAAGTTCAATTTAAGTACGAATTGATAGGTATTCTGCCCAGTGGCACATCCAGTTACTCAAGAACTCCTTGAAGCGTATCAAGTAGTCAATCCCGAGCTCGCGTGCAACGAACATTTCATGACTCATCCTGCAGACGAATTAGCTGCTAAACTTCTACGATCCTAGAGCTAGTTTTTTCCAGCATTCCACTTTGCTGGAATAATGGTATTATATGAGTTGAGACTTTTGAAGTTTACCAATTTTCATCCCATCCAGACATGAAATTTGAAATTTTAACTATTAGCTTTGGGTGCTTAAAACAGCCTTCGCAGCAGCGTGAAAGCAAAAGCAAAAGCTTATTTTGGAATGACTGAGAAGGTTTGCCTGCATATCAATAGATGAAGAAGGACCGTTTTGAAGCTGAAACTGCATGCAGGTCATGATTTATTGTGAGGAGGACTTTGTTGGTGAAAAAAAATGCTTCAAGTCGTTTTGTCACTCTACAGCAATGTATTATTTTGTGCTGGCACAGTGTCTTGTATTGTAAAATAATTTATTCGTTCATTTTTTGGATCCTATATTATTAATTGCCCATTTGAGGATTTTTGAGCTCTTTTTCTTTTTCTTTTTATCAAATTGTCAATGAAAAAGGTATTTGGTAAAATTTTAAAAATTATTTTGAAGAAATCCATTTGAAAATCAAAAGTCAAAAGTTATAAAATGGAGTTTTTGAAATTTATACAATATAAAAGCATTCTAATATAGCATATTATCAAATATTTTTTTACGATTATGTCTAAAGGCACAGTTTTTTCAAATGTTAGATTGGAGTAATATTTTCGAATCCTGGATTCTCTTCTTTTTCAGAAGTATGTTTTCCTGCGATGTGAAAGAGTCTATTTATTGTTTATCCTCGCGCAAGTGCGAAATAGCGTACTGGGTTTAGGAGTTTAGTGGCATTAATCGAGAAGAGAAATTCCCCGCTGACCAGAGCAATGATAGTTAACCTTTAGAGACTGAATGACAGACAGCAGTTTTTTGGGGTCCAAAAGACTTACGGACAGGGCGTTGGCAGCTAGCAAAAGCATATTTAAATCAATTATCAACCCCACGTTGCGAGGATCCAATTTGATAATTGGATTGATTGGTTACAAGTAAATAAGTTTCTTTAATTCGATGATTGTATTGTCCTTTTTTTATTATAATCATCTCTTTGCCAATTATTACGTTGACAGTACAATCCTAATATTTTTGTATATTTATAGTACCATTCACTCGTTGTGCAAATCAATATAGGCCATTCGATTTCAGGAGATGTAAACTGATCTCACACCTGCATCTCTCTCCCAACTACGATATCTCTCCTGATGGAGAGAGATTGAGGGACATAAAAAACGAGAAGAATGAACAGATAAGAATATTACTTTTTATGATATGGCCCTGACTTTTATTATACCATTACAATATTATTATTATTATTATTTTACTGTCATTATTTACAGTGATAATATCAATTTTTTATAAGTATGTTATTACTTCAACTTCCTTCTCTTTCTCCTCCTATTACATCAGCGACGTCATCATTATTATCTTTTTTATTATTATAATTGATAAAATTATTTTTTAATCATTATTTTTATTTATATTAAATATATTAAATTTTATTTTTGATATTTTTATTATTTTAAAAATAATATGAGAATGCAAATATTATTTTATTTTTTAAATTTTATTTTAATTCATATATTTTTTATTCTAAAATTTTTATTTTTTATAACAAAATGACACTTTAATTTTATTTTTTCATTTATGTAAAAGAAAAAGAAGAAGGAATAGTATGTATCGCAACTTTATTTTTCCTTATCCTTCCATTCCTTGCCTTTACTTATCTTTCTTTTCCTTCCCCCATCCAAATCAAACATAATGCCAATATATATTTTTTTTTATGAAAGAAGAAATGAAGCTAATTAATGTGTTTTGCATCAAAGTCTCTCTCAACTCTAAACATAAAATAGAAGTATTTCTCAGCTACTTTTTGTATAATATGTGAACAACATAACCTATACCTATCGTTGGAAAAATCATTGAAAGAAGAAAAAACTCTCAAACCTAAGAAATACTTTCCTTGCAAATAAAATATATAAGCAATCTTGTATATTTTTAAATGAGCAGCAGGAGATGTAAATATGTCACAATATGCACTCAAACCCACTTGTTTTTACTACTATTGGTAGTTTTTTTTTTTTTTTCCTATTCATTAACTATACTCTTAACAACAACAACAACAACAACAACAATAAGAGTAATGAAAGATTGTTTGTCCAACAAATAGGAGTCAAAACCAAATGAGGAGAGCACAAACACATTACCCAAAGAAAGGAGACACCAAATTTTCATTTCACAACAAAGTACAAAGGAGTTTTTTTCCAAACCAATATATTTTTAAATCTTTATTTTTTAATTAAGGTATTTTTAAATTTAATTCTCAAACAAAGATACTTTTTTACTATATAAGATTTTTTTATCCACATTATTTTTTTGAATTGTTGAAAAATAATTTCATTATATTAAATAGCTTCATCTCTATTTTAAGTATTTCATTAATTAAAAAATATAAAAATGCTAAGTCTCTTTTTTTAAAAGAAAAAAAAAAAACCTTTCATCTGTTTAGGTTTAAGGGTTGACGCCGGCCAAACTATGATTGACGGCTAGCCCCAAAACTTTTTTTTCATCTTCTTTGTTCCTTTAAAATTCTTTTTAGATCTAGTTGCTTTTATCATTCCTATTTATTTTTTTTCTCTCTTTCTGTTGTTCCTTTTCAGATCTAGTTTCAGATTCACAAAAATAAATTATGTCCGATTTATAAAGAAGTCCTTTGTAATTTTTATTATACTTGAGAAATTTTTAATACACATGTACCCACATCGGCAATCACTGCTACCCAGAGAAGTGGGTAACCCGCGAAGGTCAAGACAAGGATAGCGCTCTTGGCAAAGATGGACAAAATGGAATTCTCAATAATGTTTCGATGAGCTTTCTGTCCAATCCGGATGGGTTTTGATAGTTTCCTAAGGTCATTTGACATCAGAATCACATGTCATGTCTTTATTGGAAGTGCTGAACCTGAAATTCCCATTGAAATGCCAATATCAGCTGTAACTAATGCATAGGCATCATTCGGGCCATCTCCAACCATTGATTTTGGCCCTCACTTCCGAAGTTCTTTGATAATGTCGCCTTGTCTTCTGAAATTTCTCTAATCACACAGGGTGGCGCAAATGGCGCTCTCTCGTTTCATACTTGCAAAAACAGTTTTGCATTTTCACACAAGAGAAATCCCAAAATCAACAAGATGGCTCTCTTCTTCTTCTTCCCCTGCTTCAAATGGAGGGACCTAAAAGTTTTCACATGTTAAAGGAGTGGAGGGAGAAAAGGAGAATGAAGGCCTGGAATTACATTTGAGGTCTTGTCAAAAGAGACAAGTGAAATGAAAATCGATGGGTGATAAAAAAGAATAAATTATTATAAACTGAAATGAAAAGGGGTAAAGAGAGACAAGAAAGAAGAATAATGTACTAATATAAAAAAAATAGTAAATAAAATAAAATAATGAGAATAAAATATTTATTTAATAAAATAATTAAAGAAAAAAATTGATATATCACATTATATAAATAGGATGATTGCTGCATAGCATAAAATATCTTATTTTAATAAATAAATATAAAACAATCCTATTATAATAAATAAGATTTAAAAACTCACGTACAAAATACGAAGATAGATACAAACAACATACTTAGATAGAAAATGTGGAAATGATCTCAATCTACCATTCAACATGTCACCAAACCAAACCCCTTCTTTTTAATCTCCTCAAATAAAATAATAAATAAATAAATTCTCTTGTTTTTAAGTTTTAACCCAAAATAATTAAATTTACGATAACTTTGTGTTCTGTCTGAAACAAAACTGCAACTGTACCACCACTTCCTCTCACTGAACTTTATCCAAAAATGTCAACCGAAAATGACCCACACGCGCCCCTCCTCCGCCCTCGCCAAGACCCTCCGACCTCCCCAACCGCCCGCCAAACCACCCTGGCCGTCCTCCTCGGCCGAGCCACTGGCCGCCGCGGGCCGTCCATGCTGGTAAGAGAAACTGCGGCTCGTCAGCTGGATGAGAGACGCGCCGATTGGGGTTACTCCAAGCCGGTGGTGGCATTAGACATGCTATGGAATGCAGCGTTCGTGGTGGTGTCGATAACGATGCTGGTGGTGACGCTGAAGGAGAGGCCGAACACACCCATAAGGATATGGATCTGTGGGTATGCGTTGCAGTGTTTGGTGCATGTCGTTTTGGTGTGGTTGGAGTATAGGAGAAGGAACACGAGGAGGGGAAGAGATACGGAGAGCCAACAGCAGTCAATTGAGGGAGAGAATGTTGCTGAGAGTGAATATGAATATGGTGATGAACATGATATGGCATCTGCACCTAGATCAAGGTAAAAAATAAAAACAAAAAGTCTTTCCTTTTTTTATTATTTATTTTTTGCAATTGTTGGTTTCTGTGCCTTTAAAATTGGAATTTTTTTTTCTTTATTTCAAAAAGATGGTTTTTGGTTTGGGTTCTGGGTTGGTTTTCATTTCATATTTTATTAGGGTTTTAGGTTTGTTTGTTGATATGTAGTGCAGCTTTACATTTGGTTTGATTCCTCAACTCATGTGTACTTGAGAATTCATATTTCATCAAATTCCTCTTTGGAAGACTGCTAGCACATAATCTAAAATGGACATTTTGTGCATTTTGCACTATTTCTTGGTACACGGAATGGAAGGAATGTGAGCTAATTTGACAAGTTCATAAAAATAGAAGAGATGATTGGACAAAGATCCCTATTGAAAGGTTTTTGCTGGAAAATAAGTTGAGGATTACAATATGATATGAGCTGTGGCACACGTAACATGTTTTTCTCTTTAAAAAGTTAGAAAAAGTTTGCAACTTGAAAGAGTTGTTCTTAGTGATTATAAAACCTAGTGTGGGATAGATCTTTACTAAACCTGGTGTGTTATAAATTTTTACGAAACTTAAATAGTGGAAGAAGATTTTTTGCATGAAAACAAGAGGGACTGTGTTTTTGTTATTTTTTTTTTTACTTATTTAGTTACTATCTCAAACCACTAGTGATGCTTAGAATATTTCTTATTTTAAGCATTTGTGCAAAGAGCTTCAAAAACTGGTTTGTCTATGATGATGGTTTGGGCACATAATTTGTGGAATTATAGACTCTGAATATTTTTAGTCTCATGCTTGTGCCCACCTCCGCATAGCTCGTGAAAGCTTTGAAATATGTGTTTTCAGTATTCTTTTGTGTATGTATTTATACAACTGGGACGGAAACGAGCTCCAAAATGTGATATCTTGGTAGTTATTTACTAGCTTTCTTGCTCCTGCATGCATCTCAGTGGTATTGGTTACAATATGTTTTCATAGTAACTTTACTGGAAGGTTTATCAATTATTGCTGTCATATTAATTTAATGATTTCTGGCTCAGTATCACTAAAAGATGTGAATCAGTGAATACCATGGTGTCATTTCTCTGGTGGATAATTGGCTTTTATTGGGTAGTCTCTGGTGGCAATGCCCTTATGCAAAATGCTCCGGGTTTGTACTGGTAAGCATTTGACCAATCTATACTGGCTTTCTGCTTCTACTCAATTTATATGATTGTAGGCATTACCTAATATCACAAGCTCGTTTGAAAACTTCAGGTGCCCTTGTCAAACAGAATTTTTTAAACCAGTATAACTGCCTTTTTCTTCTTCCATATTGAATACAATCATGCTCTATCAGTGATTTCCTGTGTCAGCATACCAAAACATATATTTTTTTTTTGTTCAAGCAATCTACAATTCCTACTTATGCTTTGTACTAGATTATTTGGAGCATAAACCTTGGAACTATTAGGATGCAAGGCATCCCCATACTTTTTTCTCTTCTGGTTTTGATGTGTGCAACAACAATATATGCAAATAAAGACCATAAGAATCTCTAATTCTGAATTTCTGCAGGCTGGCCGTGGTTTTTCTCGCATTTGATGTGTTCTTTGCGATCTTTTGTGTTGTTTTGGCATGTCTGATTGGGATCGCTCTCTGTTGCTGCTTGCCATGCATTATTGCGATTCTTTACGCTGTTGCAGGGCAGGTATGAAGATCAAATATTTACTAATAAACTATTTGATGGCTTGCAAACCTTATAGCTATTGGGATTTTCATGTGCTTAAGTATGATTTACTGCTTCTCTCATTTCATGTGTGACTGAATAGGAAGGTGCATCAGAAGCAGATCTCAGTATGCTGCCCAAATACAAATATCAAGTAATGCGCAATGAGGAAAAGCCCAGTGTTGGGGCAGGGAAAATGGTGCCTGTGGAAACAACCAGTGAATACTTGGCAACTGAGCGTATACTTTTACCTGAGGATGCAGTAAGTTATTTATTATGAGAAATTTCAGTTTTTTGAAGCCTGTGGATCTGCCTTGCTATGAACCATATTTAGAAGGGAATGCTGTTATTTTTATTTGAAATGCAATGGAATTTTTCAATCTGTTTACTGTTGTTCTGTTTATGCATGTCTGGATATTGGTGCAAAAGGAATTGAAAAGGAAAATTGAGCTATTTATTTGCTACTGTAATGTTGATAAGAGAGTGCACCAAATTGGATCATACTGAGATGAATAGCAGTGAACTTGGCCAATGATTAATAATTCTGTCAATGCTGAGTAATCATTTAACCTTGGTGTCTCACCATAATTTGGAATCTCTTTTTAGCCAGTAATCACATATTCAAAATGTCCTTATAAAAAAGTGGAGAATTATGTCTCTGTAGAAGAATGATTGCATGTGTGAGAGTGGAGAGATGGAAACGAGAGGATATATATCAATTCTATTGTTGTAATAAGTAGCTCAAATTATTTTGGCGAGACAAATGAGTCTTGGATACAGGATGTTCAAGTGAGCATGTTCTTTGCTCCTATATTTGAGGATATGGACCTTTATTGTTATTGCGTACAAACTTCTAGCTACATTAGGTTCAATCAGATTTGCCCAAGTTCATCAATCCACTGTGCTTCTCTCTAGCAAATGATTTGAAATAGTCTTCATTGTGGTATCATCACATAAACATTTTGCATTATGTTACATGGCAATGTAATGCACAAATATTTAACTTCACGCTCTTTGGAATTACTGGCTGTATCTAATTTATTGACCCATGGACTGCATTTATTCTAGCAGTGTACTTTGTCCTGTATTGGATTTTAGCCCTTATTCTGGGCCTCTATAATAAATAGGAGGGAAATTTCATTAGTGTATATATTGTCCTGAAAACATCATGCATTATTTGCTTTTTTGAGCCTGCTGTTATTCTAAGGCATTGAAAAGTTAACACCATGCAAATTAACTAACGCAATTCAGTCCAATATCACAACACAACGGTATAGGGACCACATCTGGTTCAGAAAAAGAAGAAGATGTTTTGCGACCATACTATGAATTAGAAGTGGTTAATCAAGTATTAAAATGGCCTGCATCTTACTTGTTCTTAAAAAATAAAGTCATCTTACATAGCTAAATGGGATCGATACAATATCTCAAGAATGCAGATTATTAGAAGGAAAAGTAAAATAGTGTAACAATAATGCTAACTTTACTAAATATTCTTACCAAAATCACTTCCTGGAAAAAAATCTCGTGCATTTAATGAATGGTTCCCATCCCTTAAATTTAGTACTTAGAGAGCTTTTTTTCCGGTAATAGAAGATTATATAACAATTTTTGTTTGCCATAAACATTTTAGGCATATAGATTATGAATAGGAAATATAAAAATATGTAGCTGATAACTATATTTTAGAGATTATTTACTATGTTTATTTAAATAGAAGGAAAAAAAAAGGTTTTTATTATAAACATAATTGTATGGGAATGTTTTCTTGCCATAAACATAAATAGAAATGTTCTTATTAGGTTTGATGGCAGATGTTGAGCCCGTTATTTGACCTCTGTCTGTTGTGAAATCGTCCTGCAAAATCTGATGCAACCTGTCATGTGGTTGGGTGTTATGGTTTGGATGTTGTTGGTCAAATAAGTCTGCATTTTCATGCTAGGCTAGCCAGCTGGGTTGCTTTAAAGTATTAGGTTTGATCCGTTTGAACATACAAAATATATGATTCAAGATTCTCATTTCACTTGTTTTCTTCTCCAATAATAAGGGAGGTGGGGGTGTTCTTAAAATTCTATGCTTTGACAAAGAAATGTGGAAAAAATTGCAAGAACCAAGAAATAAGTGAAAGATACATACATGAGTTGCAAATTTTTCTAATTTCACCAGTGCTTTGGGGTTTGGTTTCAACATTTCCTTTCTTTGATTTTTTTTATCCCTTTTAGGAATGCTGTATATGTCTCAGCGCATATGAGGATGGAGCAGAACTCCATACACTCCCTTGCAACCATCATTTCCATGCTACGTGCATCGTGAAATGGCTTAAGATGAATGCAACATGTCCTCTCTGCAAGTTCAACATTCTCAAGGGAAATGAGCAGGTATGAAGAGAAGAAAGGAGAAACCACAATCGGCTGGGTTGATACTTCCACACCCTGTTCATCTTCGTGTACAGAAGATACCAAGGCAGAAGGAAAGAATTCTCCAAATTTCTGCGAATACAAGTTATAGCATTCAGTCAACAGCGTTTCAGTAGTATTTATTTCAGCCTTTTGAGTTGTATTGATTCTTCTTCCTCTCCTGAGTTGTTTGAGAAGTATGCAAAGATGGAGCAAGAATTTGCAAGCTTTCCGTTTATGCTTGAGTTACATGTTCTGTAGTTATGTAATTGCATGAATTTATCAATAGTGGCCTGCTAAGCACACAAGTGTCACTCAAATTCTCGCTGTTAGGTATATAGTGTATCGGCTTCCTTGTCATTTTATTCTTTTGAAGGCCTGATTATCAGGCTTCATGATTGTGTATCATTTATGTGGTGTGTTTCTTTTCTTGTGTAGTTACATGGAATGAAGTTCTTGTTGCCTAGGCTCAACTTGTTCTGTCTCTGGTTGTGCTTCGGTTAATATAGTAAGATCGGGTGCATTTTAATATAGTTTTGCTGACTGATTCTTCTGGTCTCTATTCTTTTCAAAATGGAAATTCAGGGAAACCACAGGGAAATTCTGGATATAACAGGGGAAGCCCATTGATAAAATTATACTTCAAAAGAATTTTATGTTTTTGTGAACTGAACTTGTGACTCTTTCTAAAGGTGGTTTTTTAGGTCAAAGAGATGTCATTTCAGATAATGAATTGTAATTTCTCGTTCAGTAGGCTTCTAGTTAAAACTTTATTGTAGTAAAACAAAGTTAAACATATTAACTATGCTTTTCGTCATGTCCTTTTTCCTACTTTAGTTTATGGGTTCTTTATCTTTTTCTTTTATAAAACGTAAGAGCGTTCCATGTATCTTCACAATCTCCTTCAAAAATGGTTAATGCACAACAAATCAAAAGGTTTCAAGCAAGTAGGTTTGTTCTCATGACTCCAGTGCAGCTGGAGTATCGCAGTAAAATACCATAATCTGCAGTAGTAGCTGGGCTGTGTTATAATATCTGAATGACAGCTTCGAAGTGTGGATCCCAGTCAACCTAGCAAGCAAAGTCGTTCAAGCTACTTCTGCTTAGTCATTGTGTTTTTTTCATCCACATGTCAATACTTCACTTCGCTAAATTACATAGGAAAATGGCAGCTTCCACGCCTCTATTCGATCAGTTGGGGTTGTTGATGCATTAACGTGCCACAACCTCAAATTCGGTTGCATAGAATAAAGTTTTTGTAAGGTCTTTCTAATATTTTGGTGAGATAGTAATTATGAGTTTTAATAGGATGGAGAGAGATGGGTGCCGTTTGTTTAACTGAGAGTCTGATTGATACACTAAGAATATCACTTCATCAATTATGTTAGTTTTGTGATTAAAATTATCTTAATTTTGTGACGTAAATCCTTAGTTCAATTCATTTATTGTGTGGTTTGGAACTGTGCTAAAATTAAAAAAAAAAAACATGGATTAACAAATAATAAAATTAGCTAAATGACTTAATTTTAAGAAAAAATCAAGTATATACCATGATTAGGCTGTCCAATACTAAGACAAAAAAAAAGAAGAAGAAGAAGAGTTAAAAGACACAAATATTCCTCATCAATAGAATTATTATTAATTAATGTTACCTTTCATCAATTACATTTACGTTTACCTTTAACATAATCACTTTTCTATCGAAATCAATTGGCATATTATGTTAAACTCTTATGTGGTAACTTCATAATTTAAAGCTTTAATAGATATACAGTGAAATAAAAAAAAATCAATAGTAAAAATATTAGAACTTGAAAAATTCTGATTTTTAATTTTGAGTTTCAGTTGGATCCCATTAATTATGGGTATTTTTAACCAAAAAAAATAATGATGTGCGGGTACAACCTTCACATGATTCCAGTAAAGTCAACGGCTCAGATTCTGTCGTTTCATCTAGCCATAAATCCCTAGAGTTTTTTTTTTTTTTCTACCTTCTTTATTGTTCACATAATCCAATTAGGAATCATCAGGATTCTATTACCAACATATCATCGTCGATCTCTCTATATTGTTTAGTTGAAAATATTTAATTGATGAGTTTCAGTTAATAAGTGTGCTGAGATTTAACCTAATTCTTTCTGAGAAGTAACCCTTGATTGAGATAATCATATTAAGCTAAGTTCAACATATCCAATGGTCACAAAATTGAAACTGAAAGAGTCAACATGTTACATCAAATGAACCCTTTCATCCAATTCCGATAATTTCTTTGTTAAATTGATCAAATTTTATTAATTGACTAATATTTGACCATATGTGATTATTTAACGATAAAAATGTCATTTTCTATTTAAAATAAGTTTCTAAAATTTTAGAGTAAGTTAAATTATAAAATAATAATTAAAAAAAAAACAAAAAACGAAAACAAAAAGCAAAAGTCATAAATCTATTTGGATCATTATTCTCAAATTTTAGATTTCTATAGCCTATTATACCTTATTTTATCACTTCATTTCTAAATGCCTTTTTTTAAAAAAATAATAATAATAATTCCGAGTTGAAAGAATGGTTTATCATCAGCGTGATTGAAGTAATATATATATATTTTTTTACTTTACTCTCCTAACAGGTTCTACATTAGCCTCCTCATTTGTGCTGTAGTAACTTAAATTATCATCAAGTTTGTACTCAATCTCCTTGCTCTCTACGTTGACAACAAACTCATCATCATCATCCTCATCAACTGTTTGCTTTTCTTTTCTCATCATTTTAGATTTTCCAGCAACTGCATTTTTTTGTACATGAATAAAACATCATTATCTTTTCCTTTCTCACCCGATCCATCTACATTAGTAGATGTATTTCTTCCTATATCATTTTCAACCTCCTCTCTATAAGGCACTATTTTTTTTTGTAAAACTCGGTTGTCTTTTTCTTTATCTCTATCTATTATTCATCGTTATTGTCACTTAAGTAATCAATGTCCATTGAATACTTTGTCTTCTTACTATCTTCTTCAATTCTCTCTTTGTTTTCACCATCCTCAATTCCTTCCACATTTCCCTCACCAAAACCACCACCTCTCACATTGCCCTTGCCATGATTGTCTTGCATGGTCCCAATAGTTTTAGTCCTAGTATTGCAATTACTCTGTCGTAGAGTGTATGGACCAACCCGCTAGCCCTTCTAATTAATACCCAACCTGTCACACACAACACTTGGACTCTCATCAGACAAATATGGATGGTCCCTCTCACTATGTTCGACGTAAATTTTAACTTGTTTACGCTCAAGTAATTGACTTACAATCTTCCTAATACACCTATCATTTGATTGGCTAAATGTCCTCAAATTGTGATCTGATTTAAAACCACGTTTTAGTATTATATAATATAATTTACTAACATCGGAATATCTTATGTCTAGGCACAATCTCAATAAGCTTCTAAAGGACAGATTGTCAGCTTGTTAGGGTCAATTTTTTTTTTTTTACTACATCACTCCCAACCAATATATTCTAATATATATGTTCAGTTAAACTCCCTTCCAATATAATATGTTAAAGCGTAGGATATCTAGAAAAACATTTTTCTTGGTATGTACGACATGTAATTCAAGAAGAAAACAAATCCCAAACAAAAGAGTGACTGGCTTGCCTCAAGGATGAATCTTAAAGAAGGAACAAATGTTTTATCCTATTCCCAAAGTCAAACGTGCATCCACTCTCTAAAGTCATGCTTGCATCAAAGTGTATAAGATGCGAAAATAAGCTATGGCTGATCAAAGCTTCAATTTGGATTTAGAGAGAGAACAAGAGACAAAAAAGACACTGAGAGATGAGAGAGACAGGAGAAGGAGATGTAAAGCTTCAATTTTTCATTCCGCCGTTCCTGTTTGGGTTAATTTTTTAGTGCTTAGGTTTAGTTACACAAACGCATAACAACGATTAGTCAGGATAGTTAGGACTTTTTTGCTTTGTTTTTTTTTTTTAAATCTCTTTATAAATTCCATTTAATTATTTTAACACACTTAAAACTTTTAGAAACTGATTTTTTAAATGAGAAGTTATATTTTTATCCTTAAATTGACATGTGTCAACAAATTAAATTTAGTTAATAAAGTTATGAAAAGGTTGTTTTGTTCCAACATTCAGTTGTGCAAGATTTATTTGGCATTATACTTGGATGGAGGGATTAAAGTAAACATTACTATTTATGGGTTATGTGGTTTTCTTTCAATCAATGACATATGAAAACTTGTAATTAGTGCACGATTGATCTTCTGTAATCGTTGTTGCTTATTAACGTTCAAGAATTTTTTGAGCCTGCTTCTTTCTGCAAAGTATTTATTATTATTATTTGCTTTATAGATCACATAGTATTAGTACTGTATGTGCATGGATCGATATCATCTTATGGTTTTCCGACTCTACTAGGCCGCATTCCTGTTTTGCAGCCACCTGTGATTTTGTGAAGGTTGAGTCTCTAGTCTCTACTGCTTTTTTAAATGATTTGAAAATTTTCGTATCACTTGATGGTCTTGCTCTAGCTAGTACTCACATATTGATGAGACTCGTTTTCCATTAATTCCAAGTCTGAGTGAATGGCTTTTTGGTAGAGACAGATCCAAAGGCAGGTTTAGGATCTTTTTCTGGTACATTCTGAATGAGAAATAATTTACCTGACATTTTCAGTCACCATTTAAACGAGATCGCAGTTTTATAAAAATTACATTCTGTCAAAAATTATCGAAGGAAGCATCCAAATAAGCAGATACATCAACACAAATTCTACCTTCTCTGGAAGTATCCAAAATACACGGGCTGTGTTACAACAACTTGAAAGTGGAGATACCAACTTAATAAGCAAACTCGCTGAAGCTACTTCTGCTTAGCGATTGTGTTTTCTCCACGTGTCAAGATTCACTTTGCCAAATTACATCATGAAATGTTAACAAAACTGGCAAGTTCTACATCTCTATTCGATCAATTGGATTGTTACTGCAAAAGAAAGCTGCATAACTTGGCAGAATTTTCATAGTTGTTACTGCAAAAGAAAGCTGCATAACTTGGCAGAATTTTCATAGTTGATATGCACACTTCTTGGCTTTCCACCCCGAAAAGTCAGCTCTTAAATGAATCGTTGATATGGCGTACAAAATTGGCATGAAGCGCATGGCCGCCCTGCATCAATTGCATATTTCAGCGACAAACTGGATCAGAATCTCTCCCATTGTTAGATTACATTTACGAGTGAATAATACAACAAAGGTGAAAAAAATACAAACAGTGCAGATTCTCTTTTCCTATGAACTTTCACATGATACAGCTACAACGTACAGAACAGATAAAATGCTAGCATTTAAAATCAGATGTCATAAAATCACACATAACATCCATCAGGCAACAAAAATCTTTCTGGCAAATTTATGATGGAGGCAAAATAGCATTACTCCCCTAGCTGGTTGATGACATTAAATGGGCAAAGTACAAGAACTATAGTCCTCTACAAGTACAAACCCTTTCAGAAATTAAAGCTGGACAGTCCCCGATCACTTCAATAAATTAAAGAAACATCAGAAGCATGAACATCCATATGGCAAAGATGAATGTCTCATCCTTAAACACAATCGATCATGAACTTTTTATTAAATTAAGAGTTCTCATGAAGCAAACTTTTTATAAAGTTTAGAAGACAATACTTAGCAATAATATTCTAAAAAAACAGTGTCAGTAAAAACAACTTATTTCGTAGAAGTGAAAGGTCTTATGAAAATGAAATGGCTTAAATTAAAGTATTACAGGTAAATATTTCAACAACGATATGGAGGGGAAAACAGTTGCCATATCATTATGGCATGCTACTAGATAAAATATATAAACCAATTGCATAAGTTACTTGAAGAAACGGGAAGGATTTGTCAGGCTGCCAATCTGAGTTATCTCTGTAAGTTAAGTCTAATTTAGATAAATGCATATTCATACGTACATCCATGCACATGCACACACGTGCACAAAGAAAGATATACATGTACATTTGTGTGTGACACAAATATACAACATTTGTGTCCATGCCCACAAATCATAAATTATCTGTCTTTTTTTAAAAAAAAATTGAAACAAAATTATCTGTCAAGAACAAACAGAACATATCAGCAAAAACATCCAATGAATAAATAAATAAATACATGCCTTGTAAACAACTATGTGTGCCACTGGGAGCCCTTGGTTACCAAACCGTGCAAACAGGGAAAGGTCACCAACAAGATCCAAGATCTTGTGGCGACAAGGTTCATCAGGGAAATGCAATGGTGGGTTCAACCAACCTTTGCTGGCACTGCAGATAAAAATCAATGGTTACACACCAAGCAAACTGAAGAACTGACTAATTGTTATCTTCCAATTTCTGCAAATATCCCATGTGAATGAGAGCAAATTGAAAACTAAAGAATCATTCCACTACAGCCATTTGTCACCAAAAGCAAATATTCGCGTTTAATTTAAACCAACCAGCAGTCAAACAAACTTTGGTTTTGGACAAGAAGTGGCAACTATGTAAAAGTATTAAGAAAAGAGACATTTTCTTGCTTATTGAACGGAATAAGAACTAATGTTTTAGCACCCCCATCAGTTTCCTTTTGCATGGTTGGTCAAGAGCTGCAGCAGCCCAATAATCCTAGCATCTACATACTTTCATCTTTCATCTCCAAATAAGAAAGAAACATCTGACCTACAAACAATGGCATTGTCCAGTGAGCCCCCTTTAATAAGTCCAGCATCACGCATATGCTCCACCTGCAAGGTTTTTCCAACGTGAATTCTAGCATTAGAAAACCAAATTATATTCACTTAGTATTTTTAGCCGTAGGTATATGATGACCGAGCAAGGAAAAGGCATAGTCGACATATTTTTTGTTTGCTCAAGCAGTGCTTAGAGCCTTAAACCATTATCAAAACTATAAGCTTTGATCTGATTTAGTAGAACCATCAGCATGCTGTTCCCATAATATTTTCCCCTTTCTCTTTGATATTTGCTTATATTATGCAAACTGTTTGAATCTTACTTAAAATTGTGCAGCAACAAAACGGTATATTTTTATAGTAGTATTGTCACTGTTACTTTTCTTTCGGAAATGTAGCAGCAATTTCTTTTATCGGTATAAAATTTTCCATGTACAGGTATTACAACTAGCAGCACGATCATGTGACTAATTAAATGCAAAATAGACTGCAGTTCTGGTTCAGAGAAAAGCTCAAAACAACAAATTGCTAATAGGTTTTAGAAGATATTCCACTTTAACATTCTATATCTGATTACGCATGCAGAGCTGAGTTGCATTCTGATAGCTTTAAACAATTCAAGTTATAGCATGTTCTGAGACTGAGGCACTGCCTTTTTCTGAAAACTTGATAGGGTGATTAAAGGTGACAAATGATTGAGATAAGAACTTGAAAGGAAAAAAAAAAAAAAGAGTAGGTCTATTTGTCAAATCATTAAATCAAACAGCCATTGGGACATGGTATTTAGTATTCTTCATAGAAATAGATATAAAAATCAGCACTTGTACAAGGCCCATCACTGTGAAAAAAGAATAAGAACATTGGTAATAAGAGAGAGGTTAGGACAAACCTCCTCATATATGCAAAAAGTTCTTGACATAGCTATTTGTTTAGCATAAAAAGAATCCTCCAAAGGAGCTAAAGAAAACCACTGCGAGCAAATGGCAACCTACATAAAGAAGAGAGGAAAAGGCATTTGCGAATTTCCAATTGGTAATCAATACTACATATATACAATTTGCACAGCCGGGAAAGGGGATTGCTTATCCATTATATCATAAAAATGCTCCTTGACTTACCCCAAAAGCGTACCTGCAGTTAGTATGACTACATAGTAAGTTTAGGAACACAATCAAACCATTAAAGAAAACATGTGGTTTACACATGAGATTCAATTAGGAATCAACATAACCAGCCTGAAGTCAAATGTTGTTTCAATAATGTTTTTCTTAACTTCGTAAGTAATAATAGTTAAAAAAAACAGTGGTAACTAATGAATAAAACTTTTTCCAACGCAAAAAATCAAGAGGAAAAAATCCATTTGCAGAATGAGTTGCAGCATAGATTACCTGAGGAAAATCAATCCCATAACTAATTTGAACTTTCGGTGATGGAAATGCCGCGATGAAAGAATCATTCTTCAATACGTGGATCGGCTCATTCAAATAAGGAGCCAATTTCTCACAGCCATTCCCACACTCGTCTTCGGCTGCCACTAACCCAGCCTTTTCTATTTTGTCCACCCATTCCCTCGCCGATCCGTCCAATATAGGAACCTATAAATCAGACATTCTCAAAAACACCACAAATGGAAAGAAATACTAGTAAAATTTTATTACTGACTGAGTCTAAACTACCTCGGAATCGGAATCATCAGAGTCGAAATTGGTAATTTCAATCCGGCAATTATCGACACCCATGGCCTCTAGAGCAGAAAGCAAGTGCTCGACGGTTCGAATTTTAACACCATCGTTAGAGAGAGTTGTGCAAAGAGGCGAATCTTGTGCGTAATCAATGGATGCTGGAATTGATTTGGAGTTGAAATAGAAGTACCGCCCTTTGCCTGCTAGCTCTGGCAAAATCCTTACTGTTGAATATTTGCCTAAGTGGAGTGTCGTCCCGTTTGCATCCACGCATCTTTTTATTGTTTGTTGAATCCTGCCAGACTAATTATATATATATATATATATATATATTTCAGTATTTCTATTTATTTGTTTAGATTTCTGATAAAGCAAAAGAAAGAGAGACTACTGGTTTCCAGGAGATGAGTTTGGAGGACTTGAGGGCGTTAAGGGCACCGGAGAGAGCCATTGAAAAGTGACGCCGATGTGTTTCGAGACAGAAGGAGAGGAGTTTCAAAGTGTTAACTTTTGGCGGGGCTGAGGGTTTTAGGGTTTGGATTGGGGGCAAAATTTGAAATGAGGTTAATTTGTTTGGCGAAAAAAATTGCTTATCGATTACCTAACTTTTTATTAATTTTCTCGGAAAGAGGAGCAAATTCTATTCTCATCCCTGAATCGATAAATAGTTGATTACAATTATAAACATCTATAATTTATATTCTCTATAACTATTCTATTTAATAAAATTAAACTATTGTACTGATTGAAAAAAAGATAAAAGATTTTTTGTGGTGAAGGAGGCTTGTTTTTTCTTTGTTTTAATTTTAGGGTTAGCATTCATAAAAACTAAACTTTTTTTTAATGCAGTAAACCAATATGATTACTGCAAACGATTTGGAAAAGAATTTAGTATTCACTTATATATATGTTGACTCGTAAATATATATATATTTTTAAATATGATTGAAAAATAAAGTAGCATGAATATGCTCACATGCATGTTATTAAAAATAAATAATACAAAGTGTGTAAACTATATTATATAAAAACGAGTTAAAATATATTATTTTATTTATCACTTTAATATAACAACCCTATGAATGAGATTCTATTACAAGAATACTTATGGATGCAGCTGTTGCAATTTTCACCACCCATTATCTTTTCATTTTTTGAAAAAAAAAAAACATTCTTTGAGAAAAAAATTTGAAGATGATCTATGTTGATCGACTGATTATTTAGTTACTTATTATACTACTTGAGTTGATAAATGATTAAATACAAAATATATTTCCAAATAACAAATTCAGAAAGATCCACAACTTTCCTTAATGCAATTGTGATTGCAAAGCATGATATTTTTTCAGTTTTAATAAAAAAGCTCTTTTTTTGTGGGATTTTAGATTAAACTAAAACCTAGATTTTCTTAGAAAAAGAAAGCTAAAAAAGGGTTACAAAATAAAAAATCATCTTCCATCACTAAACACAACCTAAATGTATAATCTTCTTAAACTTTTTGGTTAATCTACCACTAAAAATACTCTAAGAGAAGATGATTATTATTATTATTTGAGAAAAAATGGGTTTCGATTTCTTCACATGGGACGAAATTGGAATTTAAACATATTTAGAGGACTGCTATTTTACGGAAAAAAAGACAGATGAACGTAGACTCCGGTTGAACCGGACACCTCTCCCGTGCAGCTCTTCCCGGTTTATAGCAAAACAACTTTGCTTTTCGTTTTTTCTTTAGTGAGAGCAAGAGTTTTTGAAAAATAGCTTAATTTGCCCGCCACTGCTAAAAACCTCTCTCAAAACCCTATTACAGCAAGATTTCTTTCTACCTTCTGCTCTCCTACTTCCGAAAAAACACTCTCTGCTCCCAAATTCAAATTTCGCAAACCAACAGCGAGAAAGATAACAAAGCTAATTAGCTTAGGAATTCAATTTCACCAACCTCTGCCTTAAAACCCTAGAGATTTTGAGGAGAGCTCTCCAACTCTCGGTCCTAGGGTTTTTTTTTTGGTTCTTTCTTTTTCTAAGAAGGCGACATGTCGTGGGAGGAAGAAATTGTGATCCGCGATGTTACTAACGCTGGTATCGTGGTGAGCGACCGCATTGGGAGAGATGTTGCTGCTCAGATCGATCTTGAAGAAGCTCTGGAAGCTTCTAGATACGCCAGCCATCCCTATTCTACTCATCCCCGTGAGGCACGTTTTGCTTCTCCTTAAATTTTTTAGCCTTAGCAATGTGTTTTCTTTTTGCCTTTAGCCGTTTAGTTTGTATTTCTGTGGGTTAGTAAATACTCCGTAATTGAGGGTATTAGTTAAAAGTTAAGTGCATGTTTTGGCATTTCAATAATAATTATAATAATATTGTGTAATTCGAATTGATTCTGTTGCAGTGGCCGCCTTTAATTGAGGTGGCGGATACTTGGGAGTTGCCTCCTGTACTTGTTGAAAGATATAATGCAGCTGGTGGAGAAGCTACTGCTTTGTGTGGGATATTTCCTGAGATACGCAGGGCGTGGGCGTCCGTGGATAATTCTTTGTTTCTATGGCGTTTCGATAAGTGGTAAGCTTTTCTTTATAAATCTCTAAAATGTATTACTTCATATGAGTTTTCAATTTCTTTTTTTTTTTTTCGTTTTGACAATGCTCTTGATTTATTCATTCTGGATTGAGGTAGATTCATAAGATTTGTTGATGGGTGACTCATGAAAGTTGTCATTGCTTGTCATAAACAACTCAAAGTTGCTACTTGATGGTGCTTATCTTGCTTGTGTGGTGTGTTCTCAACCACATATTCCCTTCCCCATCTTTATTGCAATTCTAACTTTCATTCACCTTTTGGTGATCTCCTGAAACCGATTGCTCTTGTCCTCTTTCTTATAAAAGCAACCCTTTCTATGGAAGAAAAGGTGAATAACAACACTTTATACTGTGAAGAACGATCGAATATTTCCCAATCTGGTGCTATCTTTTCTAGTGGTCAGAGATATTAGTGACACTATTTCTGAGGGAAAAAAATGCAATAAATGAAATATGGTCATTTGTTAATATCGATGCTTGATCATTTATATTCCTTCTCCACTGCTTGTTGTCATTAGTTGTTTCTGTTTTCACTGCTCTTATGGTTGTTGTTGTTATTGTTTTGTCTCAAACATTCTCTTTTTTGTGCAGGGATGGTCAATGTCCTGAATACAGCGAGGAACAAGCCATTTGTGCGGTTGGCCTTGCCAAATCTAAGGCTGGTATTTTTGTCGAAGCTATCCAGTATCTTTTGGTTTTATCTACACCAGTTGAGGTAGAAACTCAACATTTGTCCCTATAATGTCCTGCAGAAGTATATGTTTTAAATGTATTCAGGCTCAAATCTAGTTATATCTGTTTTGATATTGAGTATTTACAAGTTATTGGTATGTCTATAATGCCAATAGTTGTCAGTTGTTTTATGCGTCAGTTATTTTTATTTCATTACCTCTGTGTGCATGGTTACTGAATTACATAGATGAATTAAAGAAGAAACTGTTATTTGAAATTCAACTTCATACATAGATCTGTTGTTGGTTGTCTTTTTTAAATTCTTTTTTTTTTTTTTTTTTTTTTTTTGTGTCAAATAAATTTTGAGGAGGTTAGAATCTGTTGATTTGATGTCACTTTTATGCTGACTTTTTAAGTTCAGTGGAACTCTTAATTGGTGCATTTGATCTTATGGCATGTGTTCTTTGTGTCACTTGCATTGTGCGAGGTTGATGACTTACATAGTGACTATTATGAAACATTTGTTCTGCAAGTGCTTGACATTATGATGACTTTATGATCTCAAGATGAAACACAATGCTGGAAACCTAACTTGTCCTGTGTGTTTATCTTCATAATTTTCTTTGTTTCCTCTATTATTTTCCAGGGAATTCACTGTGCTTGTTTTTTAAAATGTTTTTTTTTTTACCTTTCTTATTAAAGAATATGTTGCTGAGGATCTTCTGTCTCTTACATGAACAAATTTTGCATACTTTGCCTTCTCTCTCTCTCTCTCTCTTTTAATCTGTGTTGAAGGACATGTTAGCACAAATTTGCTATTTTATAATGGAAGGCATTCTACTTGGTCTGGGACATGCGTTATGTACTCATCCTCTGGTGGAACGTGACGTCTGACTCTGTCCTTAGGTCTAGGACAGGCAGTGCTAGTAGGCTTAGCTATTTGGCTGATGCTAATTGATAGGTGACACCTTGGGGGCTCTTAACAACACATGCTTTAAGTTGACATTAAGATACTAATCAGTAAAGGAAAACAAACTGAACTGATTTTATACATGATTCCTTGGGTTGTCTTTCTTTAATTTTTGCATTCTCTTTATTGATGATATTAGTAATCCTTAGCAGCCTGTTCTTCTTGTCAGTTGGTTCTTGTAGGAGTATGCTGTTCTGGGTCAGGTGATGGTATGGATCCATATGCCGAGGTTTCGTTACAGCCTTTGCCAGAGTATACAGTGCCATCTGATGGAGTTACCATGACCTGTATTGTTTGTACTGATAGGGGCCGTATCTTCCTTTCTGGGCGTGATGGCCACATTTATGAGTTGCATTACACAACTGGTTCAGGCTGGCATAAGCGATGTCGGAAAGTTTGCCTGACAGCTGGATTGGGTAGTGTCATTTCAAGGCATGTTGTTTTATTCAGTGCTTTTCGTTTATTCTATGGTGACGACTTTTACTTCTGTATGTTTTATCTGAGAATTAAGTTCAACCCAAAGTGAAGTTAAAGATATTACTACAGTTAAATGATTACTTTGGTTTTATTATGATTGCTACATTCACTTCCATTTAACTATTTAGTTATGGGTTTCTTGAGTTGTAAGGTTGACAGCCAAAATCTTGCTTTTATCTACCACATTGTAAATTAAGTTCACCTCATATGTTTCCAGGTGGGTTGTACCAAATGTGTTCAAGTTTGGAGCTGTTGACCCCATTGTTGAAATGGTTGCTGACAATGAAAGACAGATTTTGTATGCACGAACAGAAGAGATGAAACTTCAGGTTTATTTTCTGGAGTCAAATGGAGATGGTCCACTGAAGAAAGTGGCAGAAGAAAGAAATTTGTTCAGTCAAAGAGATGCACATTATGGAGGTAGATCATCAACAGGATCAAGAGTCCCGAGTAGATCAGTAAAGCCATCTATAGCCTGTATCTCTCCTTTATCCACCTTGGAATCCAAGTGGTTGCACCTTGTTGCTGTTTTATCAGATGGCAGAAGGATGTACCTTTCCACTTCTCCATCTAGTGGTAATAGTGGTGCTGTTGGAGGTCTGGGTGGATTCAGTACCAACCATCAGAAGCCAAACTGTTTAAAAGTTGTAACAACTAGGCCGTCTCCTCCTTTAGGGGTCAGTGGCGGACTCGCCTTTGGAGCCATTTCTCTTGCCAATCGAACTCCAAATGAGGATCTCACACTAAAAGTTGAAACAG